GCAGAGGTCAGTGGTTCGAGTCCCGTACAGGCCTGATTTTTTTCAGGTCTGATTTTCGCTATTGCATAAATAGCGCTATCTACTGCGAGGATCGTGCATCATACATATCCATTGAGTATCGACTGACTCTCAATCAAGGGTACCTACAATAAACATGACCCAGAACTCTACAACAAACAAAGCCAGGACTTAGGTTCATATGCATGACTTGTCCTGCATAGTGTACTAGGAATGTCAGAAGTGTCGTGAGCATCTTTCAAATTCTTTTAGTTTCCTAATCTAAGAGTTATTCATCATCATTGCAGCAAACAGTCTACTGAGAAGTATTGTTATGTTGTTTCAATCAGAAATTTAATAAAATAAATTAATAACTGAGTGGTGATGTTTTAGTACCTGTAGTTGTTGAGAGAGAGCAAAATAGACAGTCCTAAACTCAGTTGGGCTCCGAGAAATACCAATGCTTGAAAACGTGTCAGAGATCCAGCTGCCAGAGGTCTAGAAATAGTTCGAGTCACCTGATAGGAATTGCAAATTCTCCTCATCAGAAGATACACGTATTTAATCAATTCCTAAGGACATGCCATATTCATGTTATTTAACCCTCTAAGTCCCAGAAGTGATTTATACGTAACTTCTCCTAATAATCTCCTTACATTATCCAACAAACAGGTAATGAGAATACTCAAACTTATCAGGTAGAAGTTGTTTTGATTCTTGATCTAACACTTAATTCTTGCAACTAATTTACAAAGGAAAGTATAGCAGCTAGAGGAGAGAATTAACAATCAGATCTAAGCAGTTAAAGGGGATTAACCCTCTTCTACCCTAGCAGTTACGTTCTCCACTCTTAGAAATGTTTTGGACCAATGTTTCACCCGCTCACCTTCTTGTCAAAGTCAACATCCCACATGTCATTAATAGTACAACCCGCCCCTCTCATCACAAGTGACCCTACTCCAAAAAGGGTCAGCAATTTGAGGTCTGGTAAGGAGCCTGCGGGAGCTGCAAGTGCTATGCTCCAAGTGCACGGCAAATACAAGAGCCACGTTCCTATTGGTTTGTCGAAACGAATCAAACGGAGATACGGTTGTGCACCCGAAGGGCAACTGTCCACAAGGTTTGCCGTATTCAGCTGCCGTCGAGAATAATAGCACCTGCTTCCTCGTACTTTTGAGTGCCTCAGTTCGACACTGTACGGCCATTTTGAAAACTTAAGGGTACATCCGGAGCTAGGAAAAGAGTCATTTTCTGCAAACGTCGATTGAGTTCTTTGGAATGTGTTGGGTCTAGGCGTAAATTCTACTTTCGCGCGTTGCGCGGTGCAATTTTGAGAACCTTTTTGACAATCAAACCAAGACGTTCTGCCCCAGATGGTTGATCCACATAAGTGGCGCGCAAGAATCACCTTGTCAGTAAAAGATGAATTTCTATAAAAGCATTTGACCATAGATAAACTTGTTTTGAAAACTGGGAGGGTTTTCACAACAGTCAAGACCGCCATATTGTTTTTGGTTTTCTACTAAATCAGGCTTGGCCACTCACGCGATTACTATTGGTCAGATTATTGACAGCCAACCAATCAACTTCTCTCAATCTTTTAAAACCTCGCCGTCTCAAACTGCTTCTTGACCGAAATTCATTTAGCGCTAAAATTCGAATGTAAAGTTAGTCTCTCGTTTGTATTTCTATAAGGAGCGACAATAGTTAGTGATGGAGGTATATTCAAAGAAATCCGTTGAAGAACGACTTTTGAAAATGGGTAAAAAATTTGGATGGTTTGATCAGCCTAATTTGGGTGCGAAAATTGAAGAGGTAATTCAGCTTTTATCGAAATCATGATCAGTTTTTCTGAGGGAATGCTTGCATTGCACTAGCAAATGTTTGTTTTAGTATCTAGTCCATTGTATCTTTTATCTTAAGTTAACGCTTTTAAATCTACAATGTGTGTCATGAAATCTAAATGACTAAGAAGACTCTTCCTAGATCGTGACCAAAATCAGCTGTGCCTGCATGCCCGATTTTAACTACCTATTTCGAGCAAGGTATTCTAGCATACATGTATCTTGGTCTATGCGTGTTTTAATATTTGCGTGAGTGTCTAATCCATTCTGATGTTTTCAAATTCTTTCGTAGCTGGTCAAATTATCAAATGGTATCATCACAAATACCAAGTCAATTGTTCTGGTTAACGACTGCAGAAAAGAAATTAATGAGGAGGAGAACGACACTGGAAGTGTGATTATATATTCTAACGATACAAAAGACGTTGGCAATCACTTTGCTATCTGTGACGTTGTTTTAGGGGATGCTTCAAATGAAAATCAAGAATCCTCAACTGATTCTCAACACTGTGCAGAAATTTATTTTTCTGAAAACAATGATCTGATGACTGGCACACGTGGAAAAAGTTTGGAGAGGGACAGTTTGGGATCTAACATGGCAGAACTTTGCATTGAAGACGGACTGGAAACGGTAAACAGTACAGAAAGCACTGAAGCCTCCAAAGTTGAGGATTCTTGTTTTTATAACAACAGAGAAGAAAGCAGTATTGATAATGATGATGATGAGGGAAACACAGACATTACTGATGATGATCATGATGAGACCAAAAACAGAAATGATGATGAGTTTGATGCTGATGACAGTGCCAATGGGTGTAATCAGAATGATAATGATATCATAGAGGTAAAATCACCCATTATTACTGAAGAAGGCTTCTCATCTGCCTTAGATAATTCCTTGGAAATTAGTGACAGTTGCAGCAGGAATTCATCTGGGGAATTGATCAGGTCCAAGTCCAGGTAAGGTGAAGGCAAGGTGAATTAGTTTTCTTGCTTAAATACAAGGAATTTGCTTTTTCTGAAAATTCACATTGTAAAGAAATATCTTTATGTCTTAATAGGAATGACTGCAGCTATGATAGCAATGAAAATATCAGTTTATGTGCTAGTCCTGCAAAAGTCAGCGAGTTTACTGGACTTAATGAAACTGGTTCCTATCATAATAGTGACGAGCCATGTGACAGTAACAGTTTCAATAACAGACTTACCAGTACATACACTGATATTGATGATGATGATGTTGACAGTGAAGATGTACAATGCAATGGCCTAGAAGAAGAACAAGCTGAGATGTTTAACTTTGAGACAGATGATGACAGCAATGGTGCTGTATCAATAGATTTAACCAGGACCACACCCAGGTAAGCAGTCAATGAGCACAATTTTATTGGAAGACTTGCAAGTTTTTTTCTCTTTTAATGCGTATACTTTTATTTTTCCTACCTTTGTAGAAGCAACATCAATAACAACTTTGAAGATATTAATCAAGCTAACAGTCCAGTCAAGATTATTGACTGTGAGGTCTCCAAACTTCAAGAATTCAGCTCCCTTGATAACACTGACAGCTACTGTAGTGATAGTCAAGATGGCGACAAGGACCACAGGTGTTTAAACAAAAGCAATGACGACAAGTGTGATGATGATGATGACAGGGATCTCCTGGATAGTAAAATAAAGCAAAACTTAGTGATGTCTTCCTCGTTTGACTTTGACAGAAAAAGTGATGATGACAGCAATGATGATGATAATGATGAGGAAATGTATATATCAATAGAATCTATCAAAGCTAAAACCAGGTTAATTCAAATAAGTACCTACTCAAGGCAGTCTTTCTTTTCTCTCATAATTCTCCATAGTCTCTCTGTGACATGTAAACATTATAATTTTTTACAACCCTACTCTGTTCACAGTCTGGACATTGATGCTTCAGTTATGGGTTAAGAGTAAAATACTTTCTATCTAGGGTTTCACTGGTATACATAACTGAACATGACATTTTTTTGTCTTTTTTTTTTCATAGTATGGGTGCCAGTAACTGCTGTGTTGAAGTAACCAGTCCTGTAAAAGCTAGGTATTAAAAGCAACTTGACTACTTGCACATACATTTTATTTTTGTGTGTGTGTGTGTGTGTGTGTGTGTTGACTGATCAATTAATGAGAGGTAATTGACAATTAATAAATTATTCACACAAAAAATTTAGCAAGTGGATTATTAGTAGTAAATGATATTTCTTACTCATTGAATGTTTTTAGCTTAAGTGAAAGGTTGTTTGAGAAGTACAATCCAGAGAAGAGTACAAGTGATGATGTAGATGACTTTGAACAATGTAAGAAAATTTGTTTAATTTTTTAGCTTTCGTATGGCTACAGAATCTGATCACTGCATTATTTGATACCTGATCCTGAGACATATTAAATTCAGTAAAAAGATGATGTTTTTTACATAGTTTTACAGAATATCAGGACACCCAAACAATCAGAATTGTCTGCCAAAGAGAGAAAAACAGAATCAAGGTAACGGTATTGTAATTACACTGTGCATAAATTATTGTCTGAAAATGAGTTTATGATTCCTAATATTGAAACATTATGCAGGGATTTCATATATTTTGGAAGTAGGTGTGTATTAGAACTAAGTAGGCTGGAGACAGTTCAGTGGTAATCAAGGCAGATTTGTCACCAATCTATCTCTTCCGTCCATTCAACATGGCACACAGCAAACTGATCATGTTGTTCACCCAACAACCAAAAAGGAGACAAAATGTTAGCAAGAAACATGCAAAAACCAGGAGATAGAATGGCCATAGTAGCTAGCTGAATTGTGGAGAGTAGCTGCTGGAATTCGCAGGTTGCCAGCTCCTGATTATGATCATCAGTTGAAAGACTAACTGTACAGCGTATATAGACTCTATGTTGTCAGTCAAATGATTAACCTTTTAACTCCCAGGAGTGATTAACATGTAACTTCTCCCCATAGTATCCATACATTAAACAGCAAACAGGTAATGAGAATACTCAAACTTATCAAGAAGAACTTGTTATCCTGATTTAACACCAAATTCTCATAAATAATTAACAAGGGAGTGTGCAACAGCAAGAGGGAAGAATATTCAGTCAGATCTTAGGAGTCAAATGATTTTTATACAGTGTTGATTTCAGGGCTTGACACTAACTTTTCAACTTACTAGCCAAGTGGCTGGTGACAACATAAATGTTACAACAATTTCAGTTTGTTTACTAGCCAAACTAGGCTGTGGGGATCAAAAACCGCTAGCCAAAACTGAATTTCTACCAGTCTGTGGCTAGGTGGCTATGGTTAGTGTTAAGCCCTGGATTATACTGACAATTTTTTTGGCTACAGTCTAAACATGTTTATCGTGGATGATGATGAGGATGATGATGTATTTTGTGACCCTGGCTTCACTCCAGAACCTGATAAATCCTTTGATGATGATGACAAGGAAAACGAACATTACCTAGAGCTAGCAACACCAGGTACTTCAATCTGCTTTGAAAAAAAAAATGGGGAATAAGATGAGATAAAAGCCATCCTAGGGGAAAATGAACTTTTAAAGTTGTCTACTTTCCTTGCTAGTCATTTTTAGGTTTGGGTCTGCCCAGATTTTCACATTTTTTTTTTCGGTTTGAGCATGCATTGGAGCTTTCTTCAGCTGACTCTTTAAATATGCATTTTTCCCTCTTTTTTCAGTTACAGGTAATGCTCGTTCCAAGACTCCATTGACAAGTTTATCCTGGGGCGCCGCCATTAATTCAAGTAAGATAGAGAAGTTCTTCAGTGAGTGTCGAAAGTAATCTAGGATTGTTTTGGTTTCGTTTTATTTCTCTCTGTGATTGGTCCAGAAACTCACACCACTTTGTCAACCAATCAGATACCAACTGAACCCAATCACAACTTGATCACACGCATTTTTCCGCGCTTCAGTCAGTTTGCTTGATTTTACGTCGAGTTATCGTTAGCTACTCACCGTCCTTGCTACGATTGTGATTGCTTTGCTTTTGGCTTTACTACGCTAAATCGAAAAGCGCTCAGATTATCAAGCGGTTTGGTTGTCAATAAGATGAAGAAAATGCTCCGAGATTGCCACGGCTTAACATTTCTTTGCTATGTGATTGGCTTAGAGCTTGCACACTGTCCTAACCAATCAGACTCAAGACCTAAACTGATCGCGACTTGGTTGTCTGCGTTTTCCCGCGCCTTTATTTCCTCTGAGTTTTCATTGGCTCCTTGTAACATACCTCTGTTCTGATTGGCCACCGTAATCACATCGGTTTCTGGTGTTACAACACTTAATCGAAGAGCATTAAAACCAGATGAATTTTAACTAAATTTTGTTAGGTGAGTTTAGTCGTAGAAACTCCAATTTCAGTACACTGATGAATTGATAATAATATGATACATGATATATAGCATTACATAACGTCAAATTATATAGCAATTTATTTAGTCTGATACAAGTCAGACCAACTCCCAATCTTACACGGAAATTAGCTTGCAGTTATGACTGAAAAGAAAAGAAAATTTTTTCTGCCTTCTTTTCCTTTCCACAGCCCCATACCGTCCTTCTTTTCAGACACCCTTGACAGATTTCTCGTGGCGGACTCATAAAACTAAACCCAGATATGACAGTGGTGAGAAATTTATTTGTTGTTTTCCTTGCTTTCGTATATAAGTCCTTTTATTTCAATTTCATCATCCATTTTTTTTTTTTTTTTTTGCACTGCCTCTTTCAAGACGCGCTTGCGCTGGCCCTATGGTAAGTGCGCTGGACTCCGGGTCGAGGTTCGGGTTAGAGACGAGGCTAGATGGATGGACGGAACCCTTTATTTAAATACGGCATTTTATCAAATTAAAATATACAGCGATATTAAAATTTAGTTTACTTAAAATCCGTACGCAATACAAGTTATATATTTACTATTAGAAAGCTTAATGTTCTAGAACTAGTTTTGCTGGTGCTGATAGTAATAGTCCAGTAAACTTTTTTAGCGAAGTTTCTTCCTTTCAACTGTTTGGCAAATCATTCCAGATTCTTGCTCCAGTAAATGCAAAACTTTTTTGGTAAAAGTCTGTGCGACTTTTAGGGAGCGCAAGATTCATTCTGGAAGATCGCAGTCCATAATCATGAAAAGAGGCGCTATAGGTAAACATTTCAGACAGGTACAGGGGAGTGAGACCATTCAGTATTTTAAACATCAAAATGGCTTTTTGACGTTTTCTCATTGTTTCTAATGTCATCCAGCCTAATTTACAGAGAACATCACTAGATCTCTGCAAATAGGAAGCACCAGTGGCAGTTATTCGCGCTGCACGGTTTTGAAGCTTTTGCAAATTAACAATCTGTGTTTCACTTATACTATCCCAAACAATGCAACAATATGTAAAGTAAGGCTCAATTATTGACCTGTAAATGTCAATTAGGTTTTCTGTTTTTAGAAAAGGTTTAACCTTTAGATAGATAGATAGATAGATAGATAGATAGATAGATAGATAGATAGATAGATAGATAGATGGATGGATGGAT